TGTAAGTATTCTAGTGTATATATATACTCTGCTATGCTCAAAGCCTACAACTGTTTTTTTTTGTTCTGAATGGGAGAATTCAAAAGATACTGGAAAAGGCTTATAGTCTGTGTAGATAGTGAATTTTGAACTGTGTGTGAGTCATAGTGGATGGTCTATGCTTCTTTTTCAATAACTGACCACCTCTTTGTATCACTCAGTTTGTGAGATAGGAAGTATACAGGTTTTTCCATTTCTTCATTATATATCTACTATATTAAGCAAACTCTGATCACTAAGTCTGATGCATTTGTATAAAATTTATATTCTTTGTTCGGCTCTGGGTATGCTAATGTCACCAATTTGGACATCATATCTTTCAAATGATTGAACGATTCCTGATATTCATTATCCCACCTAACACAGACATGCTTCCTAGTTGATCTAATCAATGGTTCTGCTAAGCTAGAGAATCCTGGTAGAATCTTTGGTAGTCGTAGCATATACCTATGAACTCTGAACCTGTCTGACAGTGGTGGGAGTGGCTATAGACTGTATAGCTTTTACTTTATCAGTATCTGGCTGAATTCCTGTAGAACTGATTTTAAATACTGTGTCTCTGACTTAAAACATTCACATTTAGACAGTTTTAACTTCAAATTATTTTTCCTTAAACTTTTGAAAACCATTTGAATGTGTTCTGTAGAATCAGCAAACACTAAAATGTTGTCCAAACAAGACAGTGTGTGCTGTTCTTGTAAAACAGTGGACATTAATTCTTGAAATATACTGGGAATTTTTGCCAGTCCAAATGACATAACGTTAATGTGGAATAAACCCCCATGATATGTGAACATAGTTTTTTCCTTATCTTCTTCATGTAGTTCTACCTGCCAGTATCCAGATTTTAAGTCTAATCTGAGCCTAAAGATGCTAAGATATCATCTATAACTGGAAGTGGGTGTGCATTGCTCTTAGTAATTTTACTTAGAGCCCTAAAAAAGCCTCCTCTACTACTTTTCTTTGTATAAAGAGTGTGCAATATGGGTGGTTTTTGATAAGCATGTGTCTGTCAATGTTGATATGCATTTTAACGTTATCTGTCCTACCTAGATCTTTGTCATTCATCTTACTTATTATAAAACGCAGATTGTGTGTGTGTGTAACATTTATATATTGGATCGGATTTCCTACATTTTTCAACCAATTTCAACAAAACTTCACAGAACTACATAAAATTACCTTGTAGTGGTTCTAACGGCACCAAAAATGGGAAAAATATAATTGTTTTTGCACAAAATCAATTTAAAAACACGATTAAGAGACATCGTGAAAATGAAAGGGGGGCAACTCACATCGGGTCGTTTGTGTGTGTTCCTTTAAATATGGGATCAGATTTCCTATATTTTTCAGCCGATAAAACAAAACTTCACTTTTTGTTTTTTGTTTTTTTGGCAGGTAGTGTTTCTTATTCTCTTGCACACTTTTTTCTTTATTTTTAACATTCAGAATGCTTTAAAAATTCCATTTACAAGACAATTATTTATAATAAAATTCTATTCAATCGGTAGAGACTCATAACGATTGAAAACAATGTTTTTGTTTGAGTTTGGGTTTGACCAATTTGTAAAAAAAAAAAACTAATTAAGACATGCGTGTCCGTCAACCTTAAACAATAATCTTTGTCAATTTTATTTTTCAATCTTTATGATGGTAGATACTTGATCTATCTCTTACTGTTATATCCCTGGGCAACACCGGGCTCTACTGCTAGTAACAAATAAATCCCTATTTTTCTTTTTCAGATTATGTATCAGTACCCAAAATTCTTCTGGCATATTCGCCTATTCTTATTCTGCCTCTTCAACATGATGTTTCACTTTTAATGGAGAGATGATATTTACACTGTCTGTCTGATTAAGCCTAGCTATCAGACATCCTCATCTCAAAGTAACTGTCTGGTTTGTATTATTGACAATGAGTAGCAGTATTTTGTCTGTCAAACTTACTTTTTCTACCACACTCTCTACCGAAACACCACATAGGTTGCTAACAAAGTCCAATTTTTATTGTTCAATTCATTAACTTACCTATCCCACAGTCCGACTTTTACCATACCTGTGTGTATGAACTGAGGCTTTGACATTACTGGACAAGCTATACTAGTTATAGATGTAATATTCCTGTCTTCCAATGCTATATACTCATCTCCTAGATGTAGTGCACCTAAAATGATAAAATTCTAGCCTCATTTTGCTGTAACCAATCCTGTCCCAATATTATATTCCTACGGAAGTTACTCACTATGTAAAAATTATGTGGTGTAAGTTGTCTTAACTTGTAACCGTGCTTGCCCATCTATCTGTAGAGGCAAGCCATTCACTGTAGACATCTTTAATATTTTGGGATTGGGTGGCAGCATGCTGTAAACTCTATGTATAACTGATAATTTTGCTCATGTGTCTACCAGAGCCCTATAAGAATGTCTCTCTATCTAGCCTAATTCTAACTGAATTGGGTGAGCCCATATTAACAACTACATATGTCGGTAATTCCTTTCTCTGCTCGGTGGGCCCTTTCCAACTGAGCGTTCGTCTAATGTGACTTTCACCACCACATTCCCAGAAGATATCTACACTTTTGCCTCTATTAACTATCTCCTCAGGTCTTCTATGACTTTACCTATTTCTATTTTATATATCGGGTGGAGAAAATCCTCTTTCCATAGTATTCCTTCCTATCTTAGGATTAGCTTCTGCATTGGGCTTTCTCCTAGCATAATACTCAAGTCTAATTCAACTCTATGTCTCAACTTACTCTCCACTATTGCCTTTTCATACACAGCCTCTAGCATCTGCAATTGTTCTCTGAAGACTGCCATCCTAATATCTACATTATCTAACCCCTCCATGAAAAAATTCTTAAGCTGTGATGCTACTATTGGATCCAACAGTCAATCCCTTTCCACTAATTCTAATAAACTATCCATGTAAGATTCTATGTCCTTAGTTCTACCATGTGTAATATTAGACAGCTCTCTAAAACATATATAAGAGTCTCCTGTTTCTTCATAGTACTCTGCAATTGCTGACTTAAGTAACTCCCAAGTCATCTGTGAGTTATTTGATATCAACCTTTGGGTGTATTTTCCTATAGCACTCCATTTTTTGCAGAGCTATCCTTAGCCTTTGGTTCTCTGAGGAACTGATGAATATAAAATATTGCTCCATGTTTCCTGCCCATTTCTTAAACCCAATATTTCTTCTATCTAAAGTTTGTATCTCACTCAGGTATTTGTGCGTCCTCAGCGAGTTACTAATATTTTTAACTTCTGATGAAAGGCTCTCAATAAATTCAGCAAAATGATCCATCGTAAGTGTTGCCAAAAAGCACACAGTAAGACAAAAATTAATGTGGTATCTTACCAATAATCTGTCGGAGGGATTTCAGGTTTGTAAAACCATATTTATGCAGAAATACAGATGTAGCACCATAAAATGTATGTTGCATTGTATCATCTTGGCATCTGCATGTTATTAATAAAAATGGTATCAATGAAAAGAGTAATTTACTTTTGGTGTTCATTTTATTAACCCTGGTAGTCTGGATTCTAAGAGGCAGTAGTAGGACTGATATGACAGGAACATATATTGCATGTTAGTTCAGCATCCCTCTGCAGGTGATATTAGCTGATCACACAGCTAGGTGTGGAAGGCATATTGACGTGTCAGAATTCTCAAGATCTTCTCTTTAATTCACACTGTTTTGGACTTATATTCAAAACCCATACAAAGGTAATGCCCTTCCCATGAGTTACTCTAGCCAATCGCTGACCATTCTGACCCTGGCATTCTACAACAGTATGTAGCTTCTTTGAATTTTCTTATTTTCTCTTATACAAAGGAAGTTTATATAATGGATTAGTTGAGATTTTGCAGTAAAAACAAGGAGAAAAAGAATGAGATGAGGAATATGGACAACTCTTGGAATGATAACTCATTGAAAAACTTCAGGTAACAACATTCTTTTTTTAAATAGCCAAAAAGAAATGCAAAATAATGTTTTGAAAATAATTCATTAATTTAAGAGTTTCTGATTTTTTTTTTTAGAAGAAACTTCAATCATTATAACTGCTTTCAAGAGCTACTTAATATTTATATTATCCTATTATAATAAATATTTGTCCTTGAATGTAAGTTATTATATATTAGTAGAACATGCAATTGAACCATCAAAACATTTGTAATTAATTTCTTTGCTTTACCTCAGTACAATAACAGCAAATGAAAAGGAAGAAAAGAAATTGAGGGTGATAAAGACATTTGATTGAAGGGAAATATGAAAGCTGAGTCACGGGTGACTGAAAGCAATAGACAGGAAAGACAAGCTAAGGCTGATTGAAGTCAATGGGAAGGCTGAACCAAAGCAGACTGAAGGCAACATGAAAGGCTGAAGTCAATGGGAAAGCAGACTGAAGGTAATTGAACTGCTGAGCCAAGGTGGACTAAAGTCAATAGGAAGGCCAAGTCAAGGCAGACTGTTAATGAGAAGACTGAATCAAGGTGGATGGAAGGCATTGCAAAAAGCTGAGCCAAAGTGGATGGAAGGCAACATGAAGGGCTCATCCAAGGCAGACTAATGTAAGAAGGAAGGCAAGCTGGAGGCAATGGAATGGTGAGCTAAGGTGGACTAAAGTCAATAGGAAGACCAAGTGAAGGTGGACTCAAGGTAGTCGGAATGCTGAGCCAAGGTTCCAAGTTCAAGCTAAGTGGTTAAATTTGTGAAGAATAAAGCTTGGAATAGAGAATTCATGGTTTTGTCATAATAATTTAAAAAAAAAAAAGAATTATTGTACATGTCAGAGTTTTGAGTAGTAAAGAGTAATCATTTTGCTTTATTTTTTATTTTCATGCAATTTGTGTTTATTGTATAGATATGTGCATATACATAGACTCCCTCTAAAAATGAAAATAAATTTAATGTATTTTGTCCATAATGTCATTCTATGAAAAGCAACCAACCTTGAATCGCTGCAAATGTTCCATCCCACGAATAACTTGTGTGGCAAGGCTAAACATCTTCTGAGGTGTAAGGGTGTGGTTGCGCAGACGCACAGACTGATGCTGTCCTTGGGTAATCTCAATCTCCTGCTGCCCAATACGATGCCGCTGAAGGTAATTTCGCAGTGTACCCTCAGCTGCATATTCTAACACAATAAGTTGTGGCTCTGTAGAGAATAAAGAAAAAAAAACCAGAAATTCCAGAATTATTAATTCAATAAATGCACATTTTTTTTATTGATTTCTGTATGAATTTATCAATGATTTAATTCTCAGAAATGATACAAGACAAATCATTGACTGGAATCTCATTTGTTATAAAAATCTGTTAATCACAGACATATGTGCATATGCTTTAAGAGGGTTCTGAATCTGAATGTTGTCAATGTTATTTTTCAGAATCTGACAAAATGAAAAATTAAGAAGTTATTGCAAATCCCTTCCTGGTAGTTCTGATAAGTTTTCCATAATCCTTATATGAATGCACCATTGTATCTGTCTGTCTTTCTCTCTTATATATCTATTATATGTGTGTGTAAAGTTCTAGCCTCCATCTATTTATTGAAATATTCCTAGGCTTTTAGGGATAGGCCCCCTTAAACATATCGATTGTGAAACTTGGATAAGTATATTTCATTTTGATCAAAGGGGGTTCCCTGCCCAACTCGCAGAAAATTTTATTCCCCTTTGATTAAAATTAAATTCTTGCAAGGAATGACTGAATGATTCCTATCCAAAATATAGAAGGAGAAAGCCAGAAGATGGAGGTCACATCAGCAAGATCATTGAGTAACATTGAAGTGCATTATTTTTCTCCACAAATGAAAAAAAAATGTTCAATCATCATTTTGTAATAAGAAAAATGTGACATGCAGCAAGGTGGGGGTAATTCAGCCAATATATATATATATATATATAAATTTTTACAGAAAAAAAAACATTTCTTCACAGGTAGCATTTTGTGATTTTCATTCAGGATTTTGTAAATTACATATTTTTTTTTAGGAAAATTGATGCTCTACTATGGATGCATAAGTGATTACTAGGGCCAGAGTCACTTTTACAACATATGTATGTGGCAAACATAAAGTCTCCTGTGTTGTAAAACACCCTACCCAAGTGTACAATCATGTGAACATGTCACAATAATTTGAAAGTCAACTGCAGGTTTCTCTGGTAGGTTTGAATTGATAGTAGGTTGAACCTCATCTCTGATAGATTATATATATATATATATATATATATATATAAAAATGTGTGTGTGTGTGTCACTTTTCAGAATCTGACAAAATGAAAAATTAAGAAGATATTGAAATCCCTTCTTTGTAGGTCTGATAAGATTTCCATAATCCTTATATGCAGGTACCTTTGTCTGTCTGTCTGTTTTATATATACGTGTGTGTGTAAAGTTGTAGCCTCCATCTGTTTTTTATTGATCTCTGATGCAAGGTTCTGAATAAATTCAGCAAAATGATCCATCCTAAGGACAGTGAGACAAACATTAACGGGGTATCTAACCAATAATCTATATATATATATATATAAAATACAAATCTAATGAAGTTTGCCATGATCCTGATAAAGAGAACAATAGAGGAAAAATCTCTTTCATTTTTCAACTAGAATACACTGCTTCTCAAGAATACTTTTGCTGCATGGAAAAGTTTTACATTTTCATAAAATTGAATGAATGCATATTTGCAATGATATCTGGTTTTTTTTTTTTGCTTAACTCACTATTTTTCACATTCATTTCAACCATTTTAATTTGTCCCAATTTCTATTTTAATAAATGTTATGTTCAAATAAGTTTCTTGTTTGTAAACTTGGTAATCATTTTACATTGGTAGATTCAAATTGTGACTAAAATAATTCAGTGAAATGACAAACAAATTACTTACCATGAAGTGTGTAACATCCTATCAGGTGGATTACATTCTGGTGAGGAGGGAGCATTTTCAGAACTTCCATTTCTTCCAAAAAGAATTTCTTTTCTTTTTCAGTAGCTTCAACTGCAAAAAATTTAAGAAATAATATTAATTTCTTGCATAGTTATCATATATTCTGATCTTAATTTATGGGAGTTGTTTAATGTACATGCTTTGTCTTGGTTAATTAAGATGGGCTAAAATTAAATATCCCATTCATTAGCAATTATTGGTTTGTCAGTTGCCTGACTGTTAGCAGGAATGAAAAAAATCATGCAATAGATAATATTAAGTCAATTTCGCATGCATGCATACTCCTTATTACAAAGGCAATAATCACCTCCTTGTAAAATCTGGATCTGTCCATGAGAACAAGGGTGCTAAGATCCAATAAAACTCTTGTGTGATTTCCTGTTATTGTTAGCACACACAGTCATTAAATCTTTGTTTTCTCTTAATTGGTTAATTTTTGTCATTCTTAAAATTGTGGACATTCATTTGTAGAATATGATTTAGTTAAGAAATTAGGTGAAAATATGTTTTTATTTTTTTGTTCTGTGTTTGCTATAACCACATAAAGTTTTTCTTTTCATGAGATACCAACAGTTTTCTTTCCTCTGTCAAAAACACACTGTACTTTCTCTAACCAATGCCAGAAATTGAATGCAATATAAAATGACTAGCTCCTATCAAGGTTGACAACACATGTAACAGCTATTTATTATTTTTAATGACTGGATAGTAAAATACTTATGGGAGAATTGAGTTAAATGGAAATAAATGGTTCAGTTTGAAATTCTAATGAGTATACATCAACAAAGATGAGAACAATGAAAAAATTTATATACCTCACGTCAGAAATATAGACATGTTTATAACTTTAAAAGTTTTTTCCAGCTAAGTGAGAAGTTTTATGAAACCACATTTTCAGATATACTATGTGAATAATGGGCTCATATCAACCAAATGCGCATCAACTATAAACAAGATGAATCTTCACTTAAAAATATGATAAAGAAATACACTACCCCATTTGACCTGAAGAAAAAAAATTAAATTAACTATCGATTAAAAAAAATTTAAAACAGTTAACCTAAGCCTCAAAAATAACAACACACCTGCAAAATCAAAACTACATAGAACATTGTTCTCATTACTACATGCCTATCCAAACGACTTATGTTACACCTACCCGACCACATCTTCATTAGAACTATTTTATACACACAAACCTACCAGACTCCATCGGAAACATACTAGTAGAAAATACAAGCATAATAACCTCATCCACATGTAAAAATATATTGAAAATGATGGAAGCTTTGAGAAGAAAAACCAACACTCAATACTGTTAACTACAAACATGGCCACAATGTGTTGACTATGTTTGGGAAATAAAACATCCCTATAACTCAAGATAGAGATTAGAAAACAAAAAGACAAGCCTTACAAACAGCTACAAAGGACAGGAAGTGTTATAAAAGACAATGTTTTGAGAAGATTAAATCTAACCACATACCCTTATTCTTTTTGTTCTGAGAAGATTAAATCTAACCACGTGTCCTTATGATTTTTTCCAATATGTCCCCAGCTGTGGGTAAATTGTACGATTAATATCTGGAACAATCATTGTTATTTTCAAAATAAAATTTTTCATGCAATATTCCAATGAAAAATAAAGAATTATCCTTACAATCCAAAATCAGTTTTGAATTTAAATAAAACCACAAAGGGTTGTTAAGTCACAAAAAATAATTTTTCCTGAATGTCTGATATCATTATCTTTGATTTTTTGTTAACATTACTACTAATATGTCAAGTTTATATAATCTTAATTTAAATGAAATTATTATTAATTTTTACATATTTCTTTCATCTTAATCTTTTCTATTGCAATTACTGGTGCAGAACAACAACAATCAGAGATGTTCAATAAAAAGCAACTTCAATACTAATCAAAATATTAATAATGGTTGACAATGTTTCATCTAAAAAATAATAAAATTCAAGATAATAGTCAACAATGTTTGTAGTTTTCATGAAATTTGATGTTTAGTGATGTGACTTTTCTTGTACAGTCCATATTATCTTCTCCAAAGTGATAGACTGGTCCAGATGCCACTTATATGACAAATTTAACATGAGTGTATGATACTGAACCATCTGTGTAACATATATCTCTCATCTTTCATCATCCAGCCAGAGTAAATTTGTATTAATACAACACTTGCATTTCTTAAAAGTTATCAGAAAATTGTAGACTTTCATCAAATCAATTCTATATTTACTTGGGTGTTCACTGTATTCTGTAGCTTCTTGTAACCATGCTTCAGTTACTGAACACTTGACTAAATCAAATATTATTGTATTATATTGAAAAAACAGATTGTAAATACTGGAACAATAGATGCTATCAATATCATATTGAAAAATAGGTTACTTGAGTCAACATACATCTGATGGAGGCTGGAGTCCATAACAACTGAAACATTGTGATAGCAACAACAAAGATAAGAACAGTAGTCCACACATAAATAATTTTTTTATTTTTACTTGACACTATCTCCAGACTTAGGAAGTATTTAATCTCTTAAATTTTTGTCAGAATTTTTGAAATACAGATTTTAAAATACTTTACTTTTCAAACCTACAACATCATCTTGATTGTTATACTCACAATGTTTTAACTACTGTATCTCCTGGCTTTATTCAGTTATTTGTCCTGTGTATATAACAACCAAAATGAACATGATGGTGTAGCATTCTAAAACTTCATTATCTACTCTTAACTTGGATATGATTTATGCACATATCAAAGGTGAAAAAATGTGTCAACTGATAGTTGAGATAAAGGTGTGAAATCTAAGTTGTCTCACAGTTGGTGCAAATTCATCAAATGTCCATTTTTACTCACCTTTTATATTCTAGCCACATCAATGGTTACAATGTATGACCAAGTCAACTCACAAGTAAGACCCTGATTCACATTTTTAATATATATTCAATTTGCTGCATGAACAGATTATTGTCTAGTAAATGTTATATATATATATATATTTGTTTTTATTCACCAATATACATGTGTTACTATATTATCGATATAATAATGTTAACTGAATCCTTATCTCCACCAGCCATTCCAATACTGGCCTGAATAATGAAGCAACTTTTATATTGCAAAAAAAAAAAAAATTCATCAACGATTAGTATTAAAAATACTTCTTCTGAGGCTTCCTTTAATGTTCAGAGGAGAGACAATATAGAAAGCTGTGATAAAAAGCAAAAATAAGAAGAAGATTACCCCAAAATTAATAAAAAAAAAGAATTCTTCTTGGTTTTATCTTTGGTAGAATCTAAAACAGACATTTCTATGTTCGTATCAATTCATCTGTGGTTCAGTATGTGGGTGTCTTGAAGCCTAGGCTTTCATGAAAGCATTTTCACTTAATCACACTTGTAGCTGATTTTCTATTTGAAACCAACTACAACTTCTCTTTTCTTACCTTTGTACATTGACATATTGTTTTCTTTGTGAATGCTCCTGATATAATGCAAGATACCTGATAGCCTCTAGCCCAATACTCTAATCACAAAACTCTGTACATAAAGAGAATGTACAGAGCTTTGAGGTAGAGGCTATCATTCAGTCAAGGATCTAATGAGTGGATTGTCCACAAAACTTCTGTCAACCCTGGGTAAGTATTTGAACATTTTTTGATACACACACACATATATATATACATACACACACACACACACATATATATATATGTGTGTGTATGTTTCATTGAATAATATAGGCATATAAACATAGACATCTACAACATCATCCTCGGGTGAATTAAAAAGACAAACTTATTATAACTATGATAAAATCTGCATTTTGTTGTTTTTTTTTTTAAATCACCATCACATGTGAACATGCTCTATTATAATTATTTTAAAATTTTAAATTTATCTGTTGTAGCTATGGAGTTTTTTGTAAAACAAGCATCCATCTTTACAATACAAGAAAATACTTGTTGACAACACCAATGTACTACACCCTGAAAACAATAAATAAAAAATTCTCTTTCTCAAGGCCCTCTATATCAAAAGCAACCAATCAACACTCAACAAAATTTATTACAAGTGTAGCAGAGTGCATATAACAATCATTTCATGTCATTTTGTATTTCTACCAATTTCTGGTTACCTCCTTTATTTTGGAACAGTTGTTTTTCAAAAATTTCTATAGCTACAATAGATAAATTTAAAATTTTGAGTGCATTCACATGTGTTTTTTGATATCACCATCACAACAAAATGCAAATTTATCACAGTTACAATAAGTTTGTCATTTTATATCACCTCCTGAGGATGATCTTGTAGGAGATCAAAAGTACTTGAGCAGGAAAAAAACTACAACACCTTCCTTGAATTTCATCTTAACATCAACAAACTGATTCAGTCAGTTATGTGCCATGCGTGATACTTTCAATACATGACAGACGAGGCAGATTTTTTTCCACAGTAGGTTGCCATTTCTTTCTGCAGTATCAAAGTCTATAGAACCTAGTCTGTCCCGCTATTTACTCATACTGGGGGTGGGGGAGAAGGGATTCATACCTTTCCCAAGGTTATTAACATGTAAGTGAATGTAATGGATTCGACTGGATTTGCAAAGTGGAAATAGTTTGTGTGACACTTTTCCAATTTGATTTTAGGGAAAATTATGACAAAGATAATTGATGATCAGTTAAGAAGTGAAACTGGCAGTGTTAATTTCACTTTCACTCTTTTCATATCTACAAATGCTCCATCTTCAATATTGGTCTCTCTTCCTCCATAATTATAAATTTTCAACAATTATTTATGCCCATATACAACAAAATAACTCATAGTTACTTACCCATCAGACGTTTAATCGCTACGCGAACCATATCGTCTCTGGTTGGATGTTTCTGCATTTTGCCTTTCCAGACTTCAGTATAAATGCCTTTGCCCAAAAGATCGTGTAATTTGATAAAACGTCGTGGCACTTCCCATCCATGGCGTGTATCAGAATAATCTCCCTTTTTATATCAAGAAAGAAACACTCTTTAATAACAGAAAAATAAAACATTGAAAGACAATAATCAGTGAAAAATAGAGAGAAATCGCCAATAAAAGATAATCTAATAAAAATTGTGTGATCTTGATCTGCTTGTAGAAAAATTAGGACTTCAATCTTTGGTTTATGATCAAAGAATAAACATTCTAAAACATTAATAAAGCTATGTAATATATTGGCTTCAATAAATGTTTGTTTTGAAAATCATTAGATTGAATTTGAAATATTTCTTATTAAATAGATGTATGTTTTTCTATACCCAAAGTTTGCCGTTTAAGATGAGTAAAAAACATTTTTTTAAGGTTATTTCAATTAGCTGATGAAGAAAGAGGTTTGCATGTTTATTTGAAAAAACAAATGTTTGACCGATTCAAAAAAATTTCATTCAATTTTAATGTATGAAAAAACAAGTCATATAGAAAATAAAAGTTACTTAAAAATAGTGATAAAATATGGCTATAAGTGTTTGTAAGAAACATTTCCAAACCATATGTTGAAACTAAATAAATCAATATCTGTCTTTATCTCTGAGATGAGTTATTATGATTACTAACATTATTCAGACTCTCATCCTCATTGCCATATTCACAACGTTTCGGCTGTTGCTCTAGCCTTCTTCTGGTGATTGGAATTTCGAACCAAACCCTTTATTTTGTCCACCATTCTAGTTCCACATGCAATGCCTCTTCCAGATGTCCCGGTTATTTCCCTTTAACTCAACTCTCCAAGTTTGAGGACACATAGCCCAGTGGATAAAGATGTTGGTTAGATTCAGTGACTAGACCCATAGAGTTGCGAGTTCAATACCAGGCCACAGCAGTGGTGAACCAAAGGGAAATAACTGAGACATCCAGAAGAGGCATGGGACTGGGACAATCTATCACGGTGGATGAAATAAACGGTTCAGTTTGAAATTCCAATTCATCTGAAGAAGGCTGGAGCATACAATGGCTGAAACGTTGTGAATATGGCAATGAAGGTGAGGATAACACTCTGAATAATGTAACTAAATAAATCAATACAATTTTTTAGAAGCGTCTAGTTAGTAGAAATATACATTTAGCTTTTACGAGCCAAAAATAAAATTTATAATGCCACAATTTTTTTTCTCTTTTAGTCGTTTCACCCCCAAACAAAGAAGTAAAACCAATAAGACTCAAGGGGTTACTGTCTGTTAAAGAATTCTCTTCTTTTGTTCTCACTCCTTAGTAATCAGGAGGAGAGTGGATAGCAATTGATATCGCATTTAAATTTTTGAAGATTAAAGTTGACTGGAAAGCATGGAGCCAGAAAGGAATTCCATAAGTGAGAAAAGAAACTGTTAGAATAGAACTTAGAGTTACATCCAGTCAACTCAACTGTATGTCGATGAGACCATGTCACCAGTCTAGTACCGTGCTTAACTTCATAAATTCTAAGCACCATAGCAAAGAGCTCATCCTAATAATTACTATGAAAGTACTTATAGAAAAGGCACAGGAAGGCAACCTTATGGTGGTGGAAAAGTGACTAAAGCTGATATGCCAGGTCAGGATCAATAATATTGCTGATTCTTTTTTTATTTTATCAAGGATCTATAGATATGTGGCAGGAGCACTGGACCATATGTGGCAGCAATATTCTAAGCATATATGTAAAATAGATTCTGTAGAGAAAAATTGTTTAGCAGAACAGTGAACCAATTTTCTTAGCAGTTGACCTAGCCATGGATTCCACTTCATGTCAGCTGAAAATATCAACTGAAGAAGGTGCAACAAGTCACTTTCCTGGCGCTTAGCATTGGCCATTCTGATAGAAGGCAAAAAGGTGTTTCTCTGATGATTACCAAACAGCAGTTTAATTTTAGAAGCATTTAAATTAACAAGCCATTCTTTGATCCTGTTAACAACAGAGTGTAATTTATTTGTGAGATCAGTCACCAATTTCTCAAACGGATCAAACTTAGTACTAAGACAGTAATAAATAGTTGTGTCATCATTGATACCAAGTTGAGAGCTGATGCCATCAGGAAGGTTGTTAATGAAAATTAAATGCCACAATTGTGTTCTTTTTGGCAAGAAAATCATTGTAGACAGAGAAAGATTTTACAGATGTACAGAGATCTGTTATTCAATTAGAAGTGATATCAAAGTTCAGAGACAAAATGTTTCCACTTAGCAATAATACAAAACCTTTAAAGACTGTTAAATTCAATAATGATAAGTGTAATGGTTTATAAAAGAACCAAAGGAAATACAACTACTTCCTCAATTAGCTGAACACATTCAGAGGTTGAAAAATTAAAATATTCAGGTAATTGAATACCTAAATTATCAAAAAATAATAAAAAAAAAAGTTATTTTCTGAAATAAATTTTTTTTTTTTTTTTTTTTTTTTATAAAAAATGTATTTTTATACTTTCATAGTGTTTTGACCCCAGTTTCAGGGTTAACTATTAGCTTATAGTTGGCACCCTAACAGGTTTGTTTTACAACATATCAATCCATTGGGTCTTTTTTGTTTGTTTAGTGGCATATCAACTCCTTATAGGTCATTTAATGCTGAAATTTAATTTTTGGGGAGCATTATTAATTTCTTTGATAAAAAATTGGAAGGAAATGAAACAATATCTAAAGTTGGTTGATTGTTTTAATGGTGGTGATTTGTCCTTTGACATAAAAGTGGATGACGACGATGATGATTTAAAAATTGTCATTTATGATGAGCTAAAATATAAATTAGAGAAGAACGTAGGCAGCAGAATTTTCATAAGAGCAAGAATCATGAAAAGACACCATAAACATAGGAAACCTTAAAAACTGAAAATATTTTAGTTATACCATAATAACTTGCACCTGCAATTTAAAACTTCAATCAAAGAGACCAATTATTCTAATTCTGAAATGGGTTTTACAAGAGGCACAATTCAACCTGGGTAGAATTAATAAATACTAAACACTTCAAATATGTCAGTATGTCGGGTATAACACCAAAGTTGTCCAAATCATGGAACGGCATAATTGTCCATCCCACAAAATGTTTTATATCTAAAAAAAAAACACTAAACTAATTGAGTTTCTTTTCCCAGGTTTTCAGATAAGACATTTAGCCATCTTGATACCATTTTTCTTAAAAATCACTGAAAAATCCTTTTAATTATTCAGCTAAAAAGAGAGCAGGTTATAATTGTTTTGTTTCAGACCCACTATCTTCCCAAGTGAGCAATGGTTAGAGGAAAAAGTTCATTCAGACCTTCAGTAATGGTACCAACATTCATACTCCGGCTTCCATCTTCAGTCCATTCAAGAACCATCAAGAGAACGGTGAATAAGTTTAAAAAAGAGGGAACATTAGAGAGGAAAATGGGATCAGGAGGTCACAGCAGGAAGAGGGATCATCATTTCAACTTAGTGCTAAAGAGATCCATTAGAAAAGATCCAACTCAATTCAAAAAACATTTGGCACGTGAGAGAGGAATTTTAGCTATGAAAGTCCAAAGAGCAGTGAAAAAAATATTTGATAATGAAATTGTATGGGAAACTGGTGAGGCACCTTGTTACTTCAGGTTAGAAGGTTAAAGAGGGCAAAGATCATCTTGAATAAGTTGGTAAATGATCCTGGAATAATATATATATAATTAATTAATGATGAACATGTTATTTTCGTTTATGATCAATTCCATCATGATATTTCTGTTAACCTTAGAGAGTAATTATACATTCTTACTGCTCAAAGTAGAGTCCAGTAGTGTTAAAAATCCTCAGAGAATTCCAGTAAGATAACTTTATTCACTTCTAAGATAGAATGGTTCAAAGCTTAATCTAACAATTGGACAATTTTGCTGTTATACCCAGTATAGATTAGTTATAACCAATTTAATATATGAGATAAGGAAATGGAACATACACAAAACTACTTCTACCACAGCTTATGCTAACACCATGGAACACTGCAGAACAAAAACATTATCTTAAGAACTTGAGTCAATCTCTTAAATAGACTCATCAGATCTAGACTCTCATGTTGATGTCATGGATGCCATCAAACTCCTTCAGAAATATCTAAACCAGTGTTTCTTAACTTTTTTTAAGCAATGCCATACCTAGAAGCAAATGCAAATATCAGAGCACACAGAGTATAAATTTTTAAAGGGTATGAAATAAAAACATAAATTTTTAAAAAATACTCACACAAATGTAAACTTACTTTATTTCAATGTTTCTATTAAACTATTTATTGAAGAATTATTTGAAAAAATGGCTTCAAGCAAATTAAGCTTTTGTATGTCTTAAAGAATGACAATCTGTCATATAGAATGGTGTTGCTCAGTAACAAAGAAAATTTACCAAATAACAAAAAACCATATCACTTAAAGCAGTGGTTCCCAATTGATGTAGCACACCTCATAGGTGTCGCAGAAGATGATAACAGGTGAGGCAGTATGGTTGAAAGAGAAACAGTTTCAAAAAAATTCATATGCCAAAAATAAATATGATTTCAATATTTAAAATACTATTATGGACTACTTGTAATTGGATGCATGAGTCCCAGTATAAATAGTTATAAATAATTATTGACTGATTTTATCATTGTAACATTTTCACATTATATCAACTATTAAGAATATAGTAGTTAGGGTCCACAAATTGGGGGTGAGAGTTATCAATGATAATGTTCTGACTTTGAATCTGCTGTTATCTCCCTTTAACCCTCTTTATGGATGTTCAGTTTTGACAAATATCAAAAACCAAAAAAGGGAAAGCCTTCTTTGCATTTATGATGAGATAAGAGTTTGTTTATCTAAAATTAGGCCTAATATAAAGGAGATTACTCAGCAAAAACAAGCTCATACCTTTCATTAAATTTGTGAAATTTAATGATATAAATTATTTGTGTTATATATTATATATACTATTAGTTGTTTTTTATTATTATTATTTTTAAATATATTGATAATTTGGTGAGGTGTGAGCAAATTTTCATTCTGAAAATGCAACACAAAGAAAAAAAGTTTGGGAACCACAGACTTAAAGACATTCAACAGCAGCGACAACTAAAATGAATTACACTTGTAAATCAAAGAGAAAATAATGACATAATTAAGATGATGACATTCCACATGACTTCAAACAAAAGGTGATGAAGGAAATACCTACCAAACAACTAATTTCACCATTATAATCATTAGTTTCAATGTGTTTTATCCTTGTATGTTATGTAATTTATATAGGCATGTAGCTGAGTGGTTAGAACATACACTTTCTAATTTCAGACCCTGATTCGAATCACATCATGGTCGATTTGTCAAAAAGGTGACTTCTTGATGATCTTAGTGAGCAGCATATTTGGAAAGTGACTGAAAACCACACCACAGGTTGACCCAAGGTTTGTGAGTGAAATTGGGTAGATGGAGCCATTGATGGTTGAGCTAGCATGAAGTTGCAAGTCATTGTGACTGAGGGTTTGAGTGTGCTGGCCTTATTCAGACTGTTGAATATTGCTAGATAACATGCTCTCTCACAGAAACTGTAACTAAGGTCTGCTCAGCATAGTTGCAGTATAAACAATACATGGGCACTGTAGGTGTTGAACAAACACAAATGTGCCTAAGCAAGCATCTGCAACAGGGATTAGCTAGCATCCCTGTAGACTGGCATCCTCGCATACAAGTGGCCTGTCACCCATCCATTATATAATTCATACCAGGAAATAACATAGGTCTAAATAATCATATTTAATGTCCATCAGGAACCTTTTGGTTTATTTTATATTCCAGCATATCAACCTCAATGGTTTATTTCATGCCAACAAGATTTTTACAATAGGTTTATATGAATAGACTATATATTCTTTGTAGGAAATCAGTTTTTAGGAGATCAGGTTTCATTGACGTATTTTTTAAAAGTAGTTTTTTGTCAAAAGTATTACTAGTATTTTTACTATAAAAATCTATTTCTATATTTTTATAGTATTTTGACCCCAATTTGGAGATTAACTATTTGCGCAAAAAGCTGAAAACCTAACAGGTTCTACCACCCCAGGTCAAGGTGGACTTGGGAACAACAACAATTAGGTGGTGGTTCCACACCTCAAAACCTTCAGCCGGATGAAGTTTATCATCATACCGAGGATGTCAGTAACCTTTGATCTAAGAAAAGTTGATCTGTGGTGACCTCAATATGTTCACCATAAGAGATACTAATGTGTCACCTCATGACATCAAAAACCTAGGTGTTTTGCTACTTGACAAAGTCATCAAGTGCCGAATTGAACCCTAAAGGATGCCATGAACCGATCCCAGATGAAATTATGATACACCTACACACACACAAGACCAGTAGATGATAGGAAGTTATATAAATACCTGACCTACAAAGGGAGAAGGCAGAATCAATTGCATACTTGCAAGAAGATCAAATGTTTCAATAAAGATCTAAAAACAAAATACCACTTGATTTCAGATGGCACTGATTTGACAGAGTTCAGAAGTGATTAAACAACACATAAAAATTTAGTCCTGTATTCTTATCAGAAATTACTCACATAACTAATATGCAAAAGTTGTGCACCATTGGGATAATTTATTAAATGTAATAAGAAACATGAAAGTTTTATTTTCTACTAATTGTTAGACATGCTGTTCAAAATATCTTCCTCCTTTTTCAAAACACATTTCAATTCTGTGCCTGGATGGATGATTAACACATCACAGAGTTTCCTCTGTCATTTTACTGTATTCATATTTAATTATTTCTTTAAGTTCATCAATATTTCTTGGACAGGTCTGATAAACAACTGATTCCATAATGGGCCCCACAGAAAAATATCCTAGAGAGTAAGATTTGGTGACCTTGGTGACCACTTAACAGTACCACTTCGACCTATGCATTCACCCCTATGGTGCACAATTTTTTTTCACTGTGTGTGTGTATATATATATATATATATATATATATATATATATATATATAAAAACACACACGTATGTATATATATATATATATATATATATATATATATATATATATATATATATATATAAAAACACACATGTATGTATGTATGTATATATATATATATATATATAAAAAACACACATGTATGTATGTATATATATATATATATATATAAAAACACATATATATATATATATATATATATATAAAAAACACACACGTATGTATATATATATATATAAACACGTATGTATGTATGTATATATGTATATATATATATATATATATATATATATATATATATATATATAAACACACACGTATGTATGTATATATATATAGTCATCCAGAATGTTTTACTGTATCACAGCTCATCAGTGTGGCTAGACATATGATTGCTTCAAGCCACTATTGGAACTCGACTGATTTGACATCAGTCAAAGATTCTCACCCCTAGGCCATCAATGCACACTAAAGAGAAAGGGAATTTTTAATGCATTATATACAACATATAAGCATTACCAGCTACCAGAGAGCTCAATTATCAAAAATGTGTGTACAGTCTCAGCAAAAATGGTAGAGTTCAAAGGGATATTTCATTCTAGTAATATGTTAATAATATATGAAAATTAAATCAAGGATGAAGAAAAATAGGCAAAAACTATTTTCCATTGTTATCTTTTCCAAAATAATATCTAGAATGAAGAAAAATAGTAAAAAATCTTAGAAGTGTCTTTACTCAGCACCTTAGTCTGTTCAGAAAAAATAAGAAATTAGGAAAATGGGTTCTATGTGGACTTACAGAAATTAATATTGTCAGTATTTAAACACTTGTCTTTCTATATTGTTCTTTACTTTGATAAGGGTCAATAACATTTAAAACATTGGACAATTGAACTTCTTTGTGTTAAATAAGGTAATCCTTCATTTAAGTGGTGTAAAATAAACTGTGCTTCCCTTAGTGGTGTAAAACCAATAAGACCAAAGTATATATGTTTATTACAATTAAGCATTATTACAATGAGTAATAATGGACTATATAGTAAAGAAATTCTGAAAACATTGGACTGTTCTTGTACTACTGACACCACATGAATTTGTGAAGATGTGACATGAACAATGCCTCAGAAATTCCAAACTTTTGACAGTTTATGCTTGACACCCATCTACAGATTTTCTCCATTTCGAGTATAGATGGTGTCATCATCAGGGTTCACAAAATGCTGCTGATGAATAATTATGTCATCAGTTTATATTCCATGGTTGATTTCCTTGATTCCAACATAAGCAACCTAATCATCTGAAAGAATATGGCTTTGAGGCTGAATATACCACACAATCACCTTTTCCAGAACTTCAACAAAGAAACACTTTCCTGATGCCTGCTCAATACCACTGAATACACAATGACCAGGGTGCCATTGGCCATGGTGATAATTATGAGAAAATATTTTGTCTCATCTATTTCTAACACAATTGGTGTAACAATGTCACCTCTTTCAGTTTTTGCTTATTGATCTGAAACCACAACAAAGAAACATTTTCCTGAACCCTGCTCCATACTATTGAATATCCAGTGGCCTTGGCATCATTGGCCATGGGGATATTTACAATGAAAAAACTTTGACTTACCTATTTCTACTGCAATTGGTGTTACTATGTGACATAGCTGAGATGGAATATGGCAGAGTTTATGTTATGCCATTTAAGTGAAGCAGAACTTTGTCAGATTATTTTATATCATTTATGTGAAGGATTATCTTACATAATTTCATATATTTAAACATAAAGAAAGGCAGAATGGAAAAAAGAAGTTGATAGACTGACCATATCTTCATGGGTTGGCTGAATGTTTTCATCTAACAATTCAACTTCTTGGTCATCCAGATTCTCATCATGTGAACGAGCAAGTTTTTCTCGAATTTTTCTTTCTTTGGCCTGGTGAAAAAAAAAAAAAAAAATTGAGAAATTAGCAAATAAACGCTTCTCTGTATTTGATGGCATAGACAATACATATTAAAATAAAGTAAAAATAACTCTGTACACTTAGTCTAATGCAATGGTATCATGTCTATGGGAATAGCTTATGAAGTTTAGAAAGTGGTACTTCTCCAAAGGTGTAAACCATGTGTCTTTCAGACTTTCAGATACAGTAAAGAGAGATTAATTTCAAGTATTGATGTACTCTATGGTAGACGAACACTGACTTATCTGTGATTGTTGAACGAACAAGGCTGTCCTTGAAATAAAGGGTGCCTCGTAAAACTGCAGTAAATTCAGAAAGAGACATGAGGTAACAGTTGAAAGATGGTGCTGACTGATGTGACCAAAAAATTCAGGAAGAATTTCTGCATATTTCATTAATTCTCACATCAGATGTTCTTCTTTGAAAAGTATGATAACTTCACACTCAAATCCGTGCGTTTAGCCATACTTGAAGAGCAGAATGAAAGCCAAAAGTTGTCTGCAAATAACCTTTAAATGATGGGTCACAAGATCAAGCAGCAATTAATAAATCATAAAAGAACCAATCAGAGTTAACTAAGTATGCGAGAGTTGAATGATTATTAAAGGTCATGAATATTTAAGAAGGTTATTCAAGGTCAATTATTCCTGAAAGATAAAAACTGATAATAAATTTTCCACTTTTTTACTTGGCACCCCATAGATGAGAGAAAAGTTTTTTTGCCAAAAGAAAGCAGAGTTTAGATATCTGCCGTTGGTTACATATTAAAAGTTCTTCTTTTATTAGATTGTTGCAAAAGTTTCCTGTTTCATCTTTTTCACAATGTTAAGGAAATCTTACAAGTGTCTCACTTCTTTACTGATTGTATAATCAGTCAAATACATTGCTTACAAGCTTTTGGGAAAATTCAGAAGCTAGTTAAATGGGTTCCACATGAAATAATGAAAAGTCTCATTGATCAATACTTAAACCAGCATTTCTCAACCATTTTTACTTCTGGGCACACTTGTAGAATAACTAAAACTCTGGGGTTACTTTAAATTTGTAAATAAAAAAAGTACAGATAACTTTTTAACAAATCGTGAATCAATTTGACACATTTGAAAATATGAAATTTTGGTTGAGCATTCCCAAAGAAGATTAATGATACACTTTTCATTTAAAGCGATTTATGAAGAATATTTTTTAGAGTGAGAATGACTGTTTTAAATCCCTTGAGGAAGGAAAGGATTATCCACTCCTTAAAGATTAAGGGATTTAGCATCCAGTTTAAAGTATCAAATGACATAGACATAGAAGCCACGTGTTTGGTGTTACTATCTTTTTAAAATAAAGTTTATTTAAATATAAAAATTAATTCATAAATTACGGTTCTATTAAATTAGGGTGCATTAGTACACTCAGGCACCTTGCTTAAGAAATTCTGGTTTAAGCAGTTACCTTTTTCTTCTTCAACAGAAAAATGTCATTTTTGAACAAGACTGTTACTGGAAATTAAATCTGGATTTATTATAAGTATCTAAAATGAAGAAAATCAAGGACATATCCAGAGAAGTCTTCAATATCTCAAATTAAACTTTGTGAAATAAACTCCTGAGGAGATGCTTCCCTGACTACAAAAACAACTTTTTCAAGTCCAAGATCAACCAATATTTGTCCTACATATCTTTATAATAGACACTTCTTACTTCCTCTTCTCCTACAACAAGCTTACTTAGTAAACCTCTACCTTGAGTGCCTCTTGAGCTTTGTATTGGGTGAACTAAACTTAAAAAAAACTACTGATAAAAAATATGTTTGAATCCGAATGAAATCCAATGCTGGATTAACCTAATAGCAAAAGTAATAAAGGCTACAGGCCATGATTTTCAAGGCCCCAATATTAAATTCAATGCTGGATTAACCTAGTATCAAAAGTAGTAAAAGCTACTGTTATGATTTCCAAGGCCCCAATATTAAATCCAAAATCAAAAAAAATAGCCAAAAAGGCTACTGCCATGATTTTAAGGCCCCAATATTAAATCAATGCTGGATTAACCTAATAAAAAAAGTAGTAAGGCTACAGGCCATGACAAGGCCAATGCTGGATTAACCTAGTATCAAAAGTAGTAAAAGCTACTGTTATGATTTCCAAGGCCCCAATATTAAATCCAATGCTGGATTAACTTAATAGCAAAAATAGTAAAGGCTACAGGCCATGATTTTCAAGGCCCTAATATTAAATCCAATGCTGGATTAACCTAGTATCAAAAGTAGTAAAAGCTACTGTTATGATTTTCAAGGCCCCAATATTATTTCCAATGCTGGATTAACTTAATAGCAAAAATAGTAAAGGCTACAGGCCATGATTTTCAAGCCCTAATATTTTTCAATGCTGGATTAACCTAGTAGCAAAAGTAGTAAAATGCTGGCTATGATTTTCAAGGCCCCAATATTAAATCCAATGCTGGATTAACTTAATAGCAAAAATAGTAAAGGCTACAGGCCATGGTTTTTCAGGTCCTAATATTAAATTCAATGCTGGATTAACCTAGTAGCACCAGTAATAATGGCTACTGGCTATGATTTTCAAGGCCCCAATATTAAATCCAATGCTGGATTAACCTAATAGCAAAAATAGTAAAGGTTACTGGCTAGGATTTTCCTGGCCCCAATATTAAATCCAATGCTGGATTTACCTAGTAGCAAAAGTAGTAAAAGCTACTGGCTATGATTTTCGAGGCCCCAATATTAAATCCTTTCAAGTTGCCTGGTTAAATCAGCACCTTACAATCTAGGAACATTAATAATTACATTTTGAGGGCAATGCATATCTAATTATTCATGATTTCAGGTAACATTATATCAAAGCTGTTAATTCTACTCAAATATGTCATTAGAATCATTTTCCTCATGTTTCTCTGGGTTTGTTTGTTATGTTGATAGAAGTTAAATATTTACTTCTTTTATAAGGTCTATCACTATGCCAGTAAATAATTTGATTTAATGTTTGTGTAATTTTTAACTTAGGCCCTGTTCATAACACACTACAGGCTCTGCACTATATTATTTCAGCCTCAGCACTGACTATACTTGAAGTTAATAAATGTAGACATGATAGAATTTTAATATTTACCTGTTTTATAAACTCTATCACAATGTGAGTAAATAATTTCTGATTTAATATTTATGTGTATTTTTTAAAATTAGGACCTGTTTATAACACTACAAACCCTGGAATATGTTATTCTAACTGTGGCACTGACCATAATTTTTTATAGGCTCTATCACTAATGCTAGTAAATAATTTCTTATTTAGTATACAGAGGGATGCAAAGGTAGGTATACAGTAAAGAAAAAATGCATACAAAACATATTGTATTGATTATACAAACATCAATAATAAATATATCAATCCCACAAATGTTCAAACTGCTTACCCACCTCTCACATTCACACACACCTCTAGTCAGGCGTGGACACCCATGCACACTCTGACACAAAGGTTTTTAATCCTCCAGTATGAAGTAAATCACAGGATCAATAGAATGTGGCTTGTTTGCTAGAACCATATCTTTCACACATTCCACAGAAAAAGAAGTCTGTTGGGGTGAATTTCCAGTAAATGTGGTGAAGGTCCTACACTAGCTTAAAATATTAAAGTTGGTTCATTTTCAGTGGAATAGAATTGAATGAAAATTCACTAAAAAAAAAAATTATTAAATACAATTAGTTAAAAAACAATTACTTTATAGACAAATACAAAGTCTGTGGTAAAGGAATCTTGATTCATCAGATTAAATGCTGGATTTGGTGCATATGGCTTTGAAATATGTACTGACTTAAAAGCTGAAGAAATATTCACTAGGACATTATTATCTATACCAATTTTCACTCATTAGAATGGTCTCTATATAATTATATAAAAAAATCTATATAAACTCTTAGTGTAATTTTATATCAGTTAAACTAATATTATCGGCTATTATTCTATGTGCAGTGTCCCTTCAGGAAGTCGACAATCATGTGTCTGTGAGGTCACTCACATTATACCAGCAGAAATATCCTCATGTTCACATGGATAAAAACATACACAGAAATAATACTAAAGGCATGTTAAATTGTAAATGAAGATCATACAATTTTATTTATATTTGTGTACTGTTGTGTGTGTATTTTTGATTACAAGTGTTTTAAGGTTGTGTGTGATAAAAGGAAGAAGTCACTTCGTATTATTACAAGCAATGTGCTGAAAATAAGCAGATGGACCTCTTGACTCTCCAGTAGTAAGTGGCGAAGAGACTGAATTTTGATGCTAAGTCCATTTTCTGGCAGGAAGTATTTCTGTTGCATTCTGGGAGAACTTTTCTTTTTGGTTTTATTTAATTTATTTTAAACAAAGTTTTAATGTTTTCTATTTGTTTCTTATTTTATTTATGATATTCATTATTATTATTATTTTATATTATTATTATTATTAATAATAATAATAATAATGATAATAATAATAATAATAATGAATAATAATGTCCTTACAGCTCTCCACAATTTCCTGTCCTTTGTAAGTCTTAGTACATTTTGACTTTTCACTATTTCTCCTAATCCTTGTCCTGCCAACCATTTACACCAGCTCATTGACTAGGTTATGCATTATTTTCCTACTTGTCTCTTGCCTTCAATCTGCTCTGTGAGTGCCAAATTTTCTAAGCTCTCTTTCCTCAGTATGTGCCCTAGAAATTTTAACTATCTCTTTTTGTTTTAATTTTCTCTAAAACTTTGTTGTTGCTCACATGTTCCATCTGTGGTATTCTCAGCATCCTTCTGTAGAACCACATTTCTGTTGCTTCAATTCTCTTCTTCATCTGTGAGGAAATTGTCCAACATTCACTACCATAAAGAAAGACTGATATTACGTAACAGTTCAGCACTCTTTTCTTATAAGCCAGCAGATAGAAGTGTCCGTCTGAAATATCAAGTGTACACTGCGTCCTGA